ACTCTTCGCTAAGCTTGCGGAACTCATCGCGACCGCACACCACAGACACTGGCATGACTAACACGGGCACCGCTGGAAGCACAAACGCGCAGAGGCGACTGAGCCAGCTGCAGCAAGCACGCAGCCAAGACACAACTCTCAAACCGCAATTTTGCAGGCGCCTTGCAACTAGCAGAAACGCAGTGGAACCTTAGAGCCTGGCCAGGCCCCGCACGCATAGCTCTCAGACAACGCATCTCGGAGCGCGCCAAAAAACGATTGTTTTTTAGGTGCCTTGTTGCCCCAAAAGGTGGGTAGGAAAGATGGCTCCACGCGCTTGCTCACGTTGTTGCAGCTATAGCTGCACGGAGAGTGCGAACCACAAGCACAACAAAAAGATGAGGACTTCCGGGCATAAAGAAACAAGGGCAAACAACCACTTGAGCCAGAAGCGCGAGGCCGAAAAACATAGGTACGTGGAAACTGCACCTGTCCAAAAAGCATTGAAAATCTGAGCACCGCGTTTCCAAAGAAGCGCAGGGCGCAAATTTTGAGCCAGTGGTCTTGTGGTCTGGCACGTGGGGGGCCAAGAACAATAGCAGCTCGTCCGCAAATGCATGTCTTCAGGGAGATTAAAAATATATATATATATATACACCCCATCATTGCTAGAGTAGAACGCATATGTATATATATATACATATGTGTATGTGCGTGTGGACGTTTGTCAGTATTTAGCTACAAGTGTTGCAGGTTCCTTTCAATCGCAAGTGGCAAGCAAACACCCACTTGGCCTGCAAGGGATTTGAGCATGTGTGCTTATATAATTGCGCGTGGCCAGCATTACTCGCATCACATCCCTTGCGCCCAAACTGTTTCTGAGAACAAGCCGAGCGCGCAAGCAAGCAAAGCAACGCGCAAGCAAGCGATGAAGACAGCAGACAAGCAAACAAGCAAGCACGCAAACAAACAATGAGCGGGGTAAATGTTGAAAAGGAAGGAAGAATAGAAGGAAGGAGAAAGAAACAAAGAAAGACAGAAAGAAAGAAGGATACAAATTAATACAGAAAGAATAAAAGTAAGATTGAATGCAACAACAATAAGCGCAAAACAAACATGGAAAATAAAAGGAAACCTAGGAAAGCAACGGAACGGGAAGAAAGAAAGAAAAACAAAGAAAGAAAGTAAGAAAGAAACTGAGAAGAGCATACCGCGACAAACGGCGAAGCAAGAACAAACAACTGAGCAACAAAGAGACAAACAAACCAAAGAAACAAATAATGCAACAGGCAAGCAGGCAAGCAGGCAAGCAAGCAAGCAAGCAAGCAAGCAACTAAAGCGACGGAACAATCAAAGCGACAGAACAACACAAACAAACAAGCGCACCACCCCGGAAAAAGAGACACACTGTGTAGGCTAACAACAAATTGAAAACTAGATATACATATATATATATATAGTCTAGCTATAAAAATATGTATATCTGTACATATATGTATATGCATAACACCCCGTACCGCATTTCTTGAAAGCCCGTTGAAAATGTGTCCGAAGAACCGATCCCCCACCTCACATCGGGAGTTCCCGATGTCAAACACGCATGCAGATACCAGACCGGACAAAACCGGGAAACCGATTCTTGGAGCCGAGAAACCAATTCTCGGAGCAATCTCGCACCGAAAAACCAACTCTTTGTCCAAATTGCATCTGGCCCCCGGCCGACATCATCGGGAAGCCCCGACAGCAGTTCCACCGGAAAAAACCGGGAAACCAATTCTTGGAGCCGAGAAACCAAGTCTCGGAGCAATCCCGCACCGAAAAACCGACTCTTTGCAAAATCGCATCTGGCCCCCAGCCGACATCATCGGGAAGCCCCGACAGCAATTCCCACACCCCAACACCGGAACAAAAAACCGGGAAACAAATTCTTGGAGTTTGCGCCGAAAAACCGACTCTTTGCAAAATCTATATATGCATCTGGCCCCCTGCCGACATCACCGGGAAGCCCCGACAGCTTCAACACAGCCGCCACACTGGAAAAAATCGGGAAACCGATTCTTGGAGCCGAGAAACCAAGTCTCGGAGGAGTCTCGCACCGAAAAACCGACTCTTTGCAAAATCCCTGAGCATCATTGGGAAGCTCCGACAGAAACCCAAGACAGCCAGAGGAACCACTTTTTTCCGGTTTTTCGCGAAAAGCCAAAAAAAACAAGGGAACCAAAAAAAGGAACCACAAAGCACCCTCTAGGTACCTGGGGTGCGGATGATGAGTTGGCCGAGACCGTGCCTCCTCCTCCTGGGGACTGGAACGTCAACAAGGGGAGGGGACGGCACGGCGGCGGGCGACATCGGTAATACCTGGTGTCCGTCTGCATCTTTCGCGTAGCGGCGCCAACGCGCGCGTGCTTTCATTCCGGAATTCACATAATGGACTATGCTCCTTGTAGTATTTCTGTGTTTGGGCTATTCGCCATTTCGGAATTCAACTGCATGCGCAGCTGTGCGCTATTCGCGCAGGCAGCGATTACCTGTCAGGTGTATGTCGCCGCAGCAAGGAAGTCATCCTCGGCGGCGTCTATGGCCGCTGGTGATCTGCTTTCTCCAGCACCGCTGCTGCTGCTGGTGATGGAGCTCATCAAGGTGCTGTGGTGAGGATCACGGATGCGCTGCACCGCTGCCGGTGAGGTCCTATTCGGACCTGAACCGCTGATTGCAGCTGGTGGTGTTCCTACCGAAGGTCTTTGCGTGATCGCGCGCCTAGACGGTGCTAATTTAAAGACCGTGGTCTTGTGGTCGAAGCACCACGTTTCAACCAGTGGGCCAATGCGCCTAAATCATGAATTCAGGAAATAAATCCACTCGAACCTTACGGTTCGATGTGGTTGCAGTGCAAATGTATTTTTATTTCATGCCTGCCATTCTGGAGTTGAATCTTTGTTTCTGTTTCTTTTTGCTTTCTCTTGTTTGATTTGGCTACCGGCGCGAATCCGCCCCATACCCGTAATTCGGGGTGGTGGCGGGATCCGGGCACCAATGAGTGCCCGGGTATGGGGCCGCGAACCCTGGTAGCCTAATCGGCTCTGTTTTCTTTTTATTTGCTTTTCAACTTCAACATGGCCAATGCGCCCTTCCAAATTCACTCCATCTCTTTGTACGGGCGAGGGGGGTGTTTTTGGGGGCATGTAGTTTTATCATAACATGTTTCCACGCCACGGCCAATGCGCCGTTTGGCTCAAGCTTTTGATTCCGGCAGAACAATCTGCTAGCACGTCACCCGCGCCATTCTGGCGCCGCTATTGGTCTCGCAGCAAAAGGCGCTGCGGGCCCGACCAGCGGCGAGGTGGCCAAGGTGGTGTTAGGTCGGGTTCGTTTCTGGGAATTTGCTGTGTTGCTGCTGCTCCGCTTTCGCTTGGTTAATTGCTTTGCTCGCTCGCTTGCTGCGCTCGCCTGGTTGGCTGCGCTGGTCCCCTTTCCTGTTTGGGTTTTGCGGTTAAACAGGATTCCCCGTTTGTTATCTGTGTGGTTCATTGCCAGCCGAGGGCACCACTTTGCCCTTGGGACTGGGGGTTAAACTGTCTCTTCTTGTTGGTGGGTTAGGGCCTGTTTATTCTCTCCCGAAATACTGTTTCAAACCCTTTCGCACTATAAAATGACACACCCACATCGACCTTCATCCATCAGTTCTCTATTTGTATGCACGATATTGTTGCATGTTCAGCTTTAAAGACCCATACCTAAATCCGGTACATGTCTTTTAAGATACATGTGCGCCATAGAAGAAATACGTATATTAAATCAGATATATATATATATATTTATATATATATATATTGCACACGTGCCTACGTTTTCCTGGCCCCCCAAAGTTGTTAGCATCATTAGGTCCCAGGCCAAGGCGTCGGAGTCTCCTTTGCGAGCCTAGGACCACGGGTATTGGCAGCCCTTCGGCCCTCCCTGCGATTTGGCGGCCCAGGAGATGGGTGGCGAACCGAAATCCCCCCCAAAACGGCTCCCAAAAACTTTGTGCGGCCGAAGGGGAACAACCCCCGTTTTTTTTTGGGGGGGGAAGCAAGCTCCAGGTGGGTTTTTGTTTGTTATTTTCTTAAATTACCTCCTGGTGGATTTAACGGGAGCCCCGTTTTTTTTTTTACCCCTAGGTCCCCCAGCTAGGTGCCTTTTCTCACCAACTTTTTTGGGGGGAGGGTTCCCCTACTAAGCTAGACTGCAGGGAAAAAGGGTACCCTTATTACTTATTATAACCTCTCTACTGGAGGACCTAGACCTCCTGCTGGATTTTGATTGGGGTGAACTTTCCTGGTTTGTGGGGGGATTCAGTTTCAGACCCACTGGTTATTGTACCCTCTGTCCAGTTAATATGGAACCTGACGTTTGGGGGTCTTTGGTTTGGATGAGGGGAAAGCCCCCCAATCAATGGAACTGGTTTCTAGATCGGGGGTCAACATTACCCTTCCTCCCAGCAGAGCACCTGGAATGTACCTGGCTTGCCAAGGCTATGCAGGCTAGTTCTTGTGTCAACCTCCCAATCCATTGGGGTGTTGCAGTTCTTGCGTCATCGACCTTCCAAGCAACTGGGGCATAGTTCTTGTGACTGGAAAGGATGCGTAGAATGGTTTCCCTTGACCAATGGGGCAAGCAGCTCACCCAAAAGGTTTGGGCCCATCCTTGTGAGGCAACAGTACAACCGGCATTTGTCCGGGTGCCCCCCTTTTTTGAACCTTGCAAGAAGAATGGAAGTTGGGTGGCTTTCCAATGTGCTTGTTGGGGTCCCTTAAAAAAGAACACCCACTTAAATTTGAACTGCATGTGTGATGCATTTGTACAGCTTGCAGCATACATGCATCGATTTTCAACCAAAAGGACCTGGTTTGCAGTTACTGCCTGGAGTTTCCATGACCCTTTAAAAATGAGTTCATGACCCCATTGTTTTGGGTAATGACCAACCATTTTTAAGGGTCGGAAGGAGACTCCAGGTGGACCCTCGTCGGCCGAAAAACGCCCTGGGCTCCAGCGGCCTCCAGCACCGGGCGGAAACGGACCGCCCGCCGCACCGCGCCGCACCGCGCCGCGCCGCGCCGCACCGCGCCAAAAGCGCTGCGCCATGGCGATGCCTCCGTCGGTGCTGAGCCGCGTGGACGTGCTGGAGCCCGGGCTGTAGATCAGATTTTGCCAGCGGGGCATCAGCCACCCCTGTCGAGGGGGAAAATCGCGTGAGGCAATTTGGCCATGGGTGGTCCCCAAATTGGGGCGGATGAACACTCATGTACAACCTATTTTCATGTTCACCAGGCGTACAAGGTTTTGACCCACGGCCATTTAGACCAGTTGTGTGTGTGTGTGCTCTTGAAGGAAGCGTGTTTCAGCTTGGTTGAAAGGGAGACCCAAAGGAAGCATACCATTTTGCGGCCGGGATACATGCCCACATGGTTATTTGTTTAAACACATAGCGAGCTCACCGGTTCGGCGGCACGAGCGAAAGCCCCTGCTGAAGGTCCGTTGATTGGGATAGGAATGAATTTGCCCAGGACCATCCAACACATAGGGTTGGCCACTCTACATTTTTGTGGTTGTTCAAACTATAGGAAACCAGGTGCCATTTTAACCAAATGTTCAGGACCAATCTGTTCAAGCATCCTTCCTTCACACAACCCCCCCCCCTGCGGAGTTGTTGACCCAACTAGTTGATTGCTGGCGCGGTTTCCTGGAACGAGGCTCCGGCCGTCCGCTTCTTGGCGCTTTGACGTTGGGGGCTTCATGTGGTTCAGTTCATACCTGGCTTCATATGGCTGCCCAAAAGCTTTGTAGCCATCTTACCAAACCACAGATTCGTGGCTTGATCTCCCTTTGAACCCTTTTTTACATGTCATTCGAAATGCTCCCACGATTACCTCTATCAACATATTTAGTAGAATATGCAGGCACTGGGTGAAACGGGCGCCGCTCACTTTTCCCCCCTATACGTGGAGTCTCCTTCTGACCCGCAAACAATGCGGGTAACCCCTTAAAAAATCGATCATACAGTGGATTTAACAAAATCCTGCACCAAGTATGTGGTGTTTCAACCACCCTCTTTTTCCGGCTTCATATTCCCCAAGTGCGAAGCCCCTCATTTTCGGGCACCGTCTCCCGGTTTTTGTTCGGCTCAGCTCCGGCGACTCCTCCTTGACTCGCGCTAGGAATGGCAGCTGCGGGAACTGCGGGCAGAGGCCCAGGCGGCCCAAGGCGCGGAGCCCGCCTCGGGGCTTTCGCGTCTCTGAGGTCAAGGGAATCGAAGGGATCGAATCGATGTGTCTTGGTTCATGGAGACCTTTGAAGCTCGTGGTGCACCTTTTTGTTGGGAACCAGTTTGGGGGTGTTGACATAATACTGCATTTTTTGTTGGTAACCAGTTTGGCGGGGGTTGAAACAATTCTTTAGGTGCCCCCAGCAATTGGTGCCCCTTCTCAGCCCCTTTTTTGGTTGGGAGGCTTCGGGATGATACTAAAATAGAGTACAGAAAAAAGGGCACACTCATTCTAGCCTCTCTACTGGAGGACCTAGTACTGTATTTTTGTTGATTTTGCCAGAGCCCCTATTTGGTACCCGGTTCTCGAGCCTCTCACTTCCCAAATCTTACTGGGAACTCCTTTGAGAGAAATGCGTGTTTTTTTTTCAGAACCCCTCGTTTGGGAGCCAAGGCATGCAGATGCCTGAGGCAACAAACGTTTTTTGTTTTTTTCTCATGTCATTCATTCCATGCCAAGAACAAAGAAAGAAACCACGAGCCAAACCCCTGTTTGTCCGCAACTCCTGGGGCCGAACCCGAAGACACCGTAGTCTCTTTCAATGTCTCACTCCCAGGTTCTGGGCTGGAGCCCCTTGAAAAACTGTCCGAAGGGGTTTGGAGCTATGGATGCCCTATTTTACCACAAAGCTTGTAAGGCCGTACGCCCCCCCTCTATAAGATATTATATATATATATATATGTAGAACACCCAGACCTCCAACACGCATCGCCAAGTGGGTGGGGGTCACAGATAGGTTCTCGAAAATGGCTGCCCAAGTAAATGTAAACATGGACTAAGACCTGCGTTCCATATCCTGGTTTGATTTTGGCCCGACACCAAATGATGCGGGTGCGTTGCGTGCGTGCGTGCGTGCGTGCGTGCGTGTGTGCGTGCGTGCGTGCGTGCGTGCGTGGGCGCGCGCGCGCGCGCGTGCTCGTGGGGGTGCGCGTGCGCGTGCGCGTGCGCGTGCGCGTGCGCGTGTGGGTGTGGGTGTGTGTGTGTGTTGTTGGTGGTATTGGGCGCGTAAAGGAAAACCAAAGGGAAGCCACACGTGGGTTCCCATACGCGAATTCCCCGAACCAAAATGCCTGCCCTCAGGCGCGCACCTGCCGGCCTTGGTGACGCCCTGCTCCAGCCCCCCGCGTGGGGCGAACAGCGCATCCCAGGCTCTGGTAGCCCAGGGGTTTCTAAGGGGTCAGCTTGGATGTGGTTCCATTTTGGTTTTGAGTTCTCTTGTGTGGTAGTTTGAATTGGTACCCCTCAGAAGGAGCACCGTTGCGCAGTTTGGGGTCCAAATCCTAAAAAAGCCACATGTTGGAACTAGTTTTCTGGGGGTCGAAGTCACTTAAGGGATGACTTTGAGAGTGGACAAAGTCATGGGGCCAGTTTGTCTAAGGAATGCCAGGGTCCAAGAGCAATCCTTGTGCAGAAAGAACGGTCGGATCACAAAAAAACAATGCGGCTTTTGATCTGCAAGCATTGGCCGACTGTGCTTAGCGGTTTCCGCTCCGACCCTGTTTTCTTTTTGGGGTTGGTTTCAGGGAAGCCGAAGGGAAATCTTTGGGGGTCCCCTATTCTGACAGCGTATTTGTCTTGAATGGTGTCTTCTTGTTGCAAGGCTCGCTTCGTAGCCTTTGTGGTTGGCAGTTGGCAGATGCAACTCCACAAAGAGGAACTCCGTTTTTGGGCTGTGCTGAGGTTGTTCAGAACACCCGCACAGCTGAAGAGGTGGCCCTCAAGCGTTTGATGTGTATTAAAAAAAAACAAAAAAAACAAAAACAGGCAATCATCATCTCTGCTTGCCAATTGCTGTGGAGTGCCCTGCACGTTCCAGGTTCTAGGTCCCCTTCCCATGGTCATGATATGTCCCTTTAAAGAGTAGTTGCGGGTGGAACATATTTGCAAAAGTATTTATATAGTTACATATATATATATACACACGTATGTGTCTATATACATTTTATATCTGCACCTACGGAATCCCTTTTGCGATTTTTGAACAACAGCGCGGTTTTTCCCCCAACCCAAGCCATCCATTGCCCGGGCATGTGGCCGTTTTTGTTCATTCGCGCCGCCTCCGAAACGTCGGGAGGTGGAGGAGTCGCACAAAGAGCTGCTGACGGCTCACCGGGAACTGCTGCAGATGCTCAGCAGCCAGACACAAGGACTGCCGGTAGGTTTGGGCAACGTCGGTAAGCAGAGTTGCCAGTGGTGACTGCAGATCAGGATCAGTAGGTCCCTTTGGTTCGGGTGTGGCCTCGGCTTGGTCTGTTTCTGGAAGTTAAAGTCAGAGGACGGTATTGTGAAACATGGATGTCCCTTTTTTCCCGCTACTTCGGGAGTGACTTGGGTACCGAGTCGTTGCGTGAGGCAAGTGGCTGGCGGTTCTAGCGTGGCTGGTTAGGTCACAAACCTGCCAACTGAGGTTTGCTGGGTTTTGCCCTCATATCCCCTGAATTTGTGAGAGAGCTTGCGAACCTCGCGACTCCTGAAAAGGGTAAGCTTTGATCATAGGTGACCTTTTGGGTAAAAATGGATAGGGTTTCCCTGGTACATGGGAAACAAAGCCAAAATCTCTACACCAATGGAACTCGTCTATTTCTAGCCAAACTAACTGATCACAAGGACACCAATGGCTTTGGTCTTTTTAACTTGCTGGCTCTTAGCCGCCTAAATGATTTGGAATGACCCAAATCGAGCTGAGCCATCCTTAGTGGTGTCCTTCACGAACCAGCGAGAAGATGTGGTTTGAGAATTCACAGCCGGCAGTTGTTGGGGTCCGGAGTAAAGCTTTGATAGCCCTTTAGGGTGGTGTTCAGGAGGAAACACAAAAGTGGGAAAGACCCATGTCCTTTCGCATTGGGCTGAGGATCCCAGAAAGACTACACTCCAAGTGGCGCCCACCAAGCGGGTGTGTCTTTTCAAGGGGACCCCCCCCCAAAAAAAAAAGGCGTTCCTTTTAACGTGTCCCTTTGAAAAGCCACAAAAGGTTACCCTCCAAAAAATGACACACCCAACCAGGGACTCACATTCCATTGGCCTATGCATCAGTGGAGTGTATATTCCTTCGGAAGACTACTTTCCTTTCGGAACGCATTATGTGTCCATTTCAACCACTCCCAAACAGACTTCTAAAGCAGGACACACCTTTCGTCGTGAACACAGCACAATCCAAAATCCATTCTAGGATACGACGACCATGGCCAATTTTGAGAGTCTGATTCTTGTCCATGGGGCACATTTGGGAAGGTCACCTTTTGATTGGAGAACCTGTTGCCATATTTGGTTTGAACAGGTTCCCCTTCAACCTCCTGGTTTCCCCGTCTAAACCATACCCCTTTTTGGAAAGCACGGCCAGGCCAGTCCACTCTGGCGAAGCAGCACCACGAGCTGCTCACAGCTCACAACGAGCTTTTGCAGAAACTCAGCAGGCCGATGGTGCTTCGCTCGCGTCGGTTCCGCAGGTTCCGGGCAAGTGGTTAGACCCACGTCCAATTGGCCATGAACTTTAATGGTTGGAACCCCCTGGAAAGTGGTTGGTGGACATAAATCCCCATCGAATTCTGATGTCCACCAAAGGGTCCCTAATTAGATTTCATACCCATTTGCCTCCATTTTCACCCCTAGTTCTTGAGGGTAAAAGGGGAGGTTTCACAAGGTTCCTCTTCTGTCCCTTTCCCATTGAAACTATATGGTAACCCCTAGTTGGTTTGGATTGGTGGTTGGGGATTTGAACGGGTCCCTTGTTCTTGTAGAAGGGTAATGGGGGACACCACCCCAGGCCAATACAAACCAACAATCGGAGGGAAGGTGATGTTGGTTTTGTTTTTTGGCCATGCCTCTCGGAGGGTACCCCTTGGAATCACATGAGCATGCACAAACAACATGACAAACAAGCTTAACAAAGAACAAGCCCAAAACAACAGACAAAGACAAAAGCAACAGGTTAAATGAAACTCGATCCACCATCGACATGTGAGTTGAGACACATGGGTCCAACTCCATGATGCCTTCCCCATTAGGCGTCCGGTTCTTCTATCAACTGGAAACCTAAAGCAGATTTTCAACAACGTGTCTTAAGTTCAGGAGGGAGGAGAGACCCATTTTTAAGGCAACAGGGGGGTCCTGTCATTGTTGAGACATGCCCATTTGCGGTTCGGTTAAACCTACAAAAGAAGCACTTTTGATCACGCTGGCTTCCCCTTTGGTTTGTTGGTGACCCAAAGGTGTACACTTGTTTTTGCCTGGTCACTGGCCAACTGAGTCCCCGTCCTGTTCAGCATCCTTCTCTTCAAAACTAAATGGCCCAAGAATTCCAGGGGGCAAATGCTTTCCGTTCATTTGGGTTCATTTGGGACCTGCGGCCCAAATTGTCCTTTTGCTCGAAACGACTGGCGGGTTCATGAAAACAAGGATGGGTGAAGATCATGGGGGCCTTATGGCAAGGAACCGGTTTCTTATGGCGAACCGCTTATGGCGAAACGCCAACAGCGGAGGTTCCAGACGTAACTCCCTCGACAGGCCCGAGGCTGAGAAGTGCCCCGAGAAGCCTTCGGAGGCGAAGGGCGGCTCCCGGCCCACGGCGAGGCTGCAGAAGGCGTGGGGGGGGGGGGGCAGCTGCAAAAACGGAGGTGCCCAGAGGGCCAGTGTCTCACTCCCTGAGTTCATGTTGACTTTTAGTCACTTGTTGGGTTTGGATCATTTTGGTGCAGGAAGTGAGTTTTAGTGGGTGGTTTGGTTCCGACCTGTCAGAAAGCTGAGAAGCGAGGCCTACGAGTCGATGGGTTTTGGGTGCTCGCGGAGTCCGAACGTCAGTGTTTGGGTTGCCTTCATAGTGATTTGCAGGAGAGCAACCCTTTGCTATGACCCAAGAGGTTCAGCACAAACGTGACGAAGGGATGTAGTCGGAGATTCAACCTATGTCAGGCAAGTAGGTATGAGCCATGCTTGTAAGTCAGCCAACCCCAGTTAGCCCAATCCATGGTGAAAAAACAAAACAGGCTCCTTTGCATTTGGGGATTGCTGAAAAGGGACGCCCAACGGAAGCTGCTCACACTGGAGTTTCACTGGCTGAAGTTTGGGATCCGTTTGTTCCGTTTGGGAGCCCCCAAACGGGTGGGTTCGCGTTGGTTTCCCTTTAGACGGCCCAGAAAGGCCGCCTGCCAACAAGAATAGCTTCAACCTGTTTTTATTTAGAAGGCAGTTGACATACTGGCTCAAAATTGGCGAAGAGTGGCTTCCTTTTGGTTGCCCTGGAAACCAACCCAAAGGGGGTTTTCTCAGCACGCCCATGGGCGTCTACTCTCATTGTGAGAGTAACTTTTGCGGGGCTTTCAATCCAAAAGGGCCACCCGCATTTCCGGGAGCATGCATCGCAAATTACTTGGGGGAAGGGAGTTGCTGGCCTGATCGGACGTAAGGATGTCTCAAACTGGCGCCCCTCGCGGAGTGTTTTGCCCATTCTTCAACTGGACTGATATGCGCTGATCACCCTCAGAGCCCTACATGGTTCTACAACGCATGTGGCTTTGATCGTGTCCCAGATTTCCCTCCACCTTTTCTTGGCCTGGAAAAAGCGACATGAATACAGTGAATACATGCATTGTTTCAACAATGACTCGTGTCCCTGCAACATCGAACCCCTGCCGGGCTGAATGACTTGATCGAGTTGGGCCCGCTCGATTCGTCAACGAGCGGTCCAGGTACCTTCCGAGGCGCCTTGAGCCCTTTTCAGCGGCAATTACCAAGGGACCCGCCGGGTTTCGTGCTTGTTGTTCTCAAGGGGCAAAGAAACAAATTCATGGGTGGCCCTTTGGAAGTATTGGATGGTCCCAGTAAATGGATGGCAAAACCCATCTAAGCCAGTGGAACCCATCTATTTCTGACCAAGCCAGCCAAAAAGAGACACGTGTTTTGTTTCTCGCCCAGGCGAAAACCCGGTACTTGATCTCCAACGACCAGGGCATGGTCCCGCCTTCCGAGCCGACCCTCTTGGACAACACCTTGCTCTTCTTGCCGCAGCGGGCAGTGCAGGCGCCGCGCGCGCAGGGGCAACACATGGAGCACCCGCTTCCTTCTTGCCGTGCTTTTTTTTGGTTCCCCGGGGTTAGGAGTTTAGCCACTCTTTGGGTTTGGACCACAGTGGTAAACGCAGAGTTTTTTGGGACTCGGTGAGTAAACCAAGAGGTAGACTGGTGAAGGAGGGGTTGGAAAGAATGGGGTCCTTTTTGGTCATGGACCTGCGAACTGAGGGGGGAGGCGGTTTGTTGGAGAAGCCGAAAGGGATAAGCCTTATGGTTGAAGAGGTGATAGAAAGCTCATAGGTCCTTGGAGGTCCATCACCCAATATAGCTCTAGGCCAAAGGTGTTGGGGCGGTGCGTGTTTGGGGGCGGGGGGGTCCCAGGAACAAGTCTATGTGAATGTCAAACGGACAAGAGAGTCTTTCGGGGAGGTTTTGAAGAGGGACTCAACATGACATCAACTGTGGATGGGGCCCTGTTCTATGTTGTTTTCACTGGCAGCTGCAATATGAATACAAGCCACCAGCCAGGATCCAACAGCTCGCAGCTTTTGGAATGTAGCTGAAGAGTGGACATTTTGAAGTGACACCAGCTGTTTGTTTAAAGCATATTCCCAAGGAGCCTGTGCATTGTTGGTGGACCTTCATCACGAAAGCTCACTCTAGATTTAGCAGCTGAAGTCTCGAGCTAAAAGGGTCAACAGTCAAACACATCGTTTGTCGATTGCGAGAAAGGCGCTCGGATCATCGATTCCTTCTAAAAGTAGCGCCCGCCCTCCCTACTCTCTCCCACCTTTGCGGTCGTTGAAGTTCCAGTTTTTCGTTTGCCGAGGGTCCTGGGATTGGAAAACGGGGCGAGTTCTGGCACTTGCAGAGGAAACAAAATGTGCAGCTTGCTGACTTACCTGCACCCTTCCGGGAGAGATCAACTAATTAATCATCTGCCAGCACCCTCCAAGGGTTGTCAGACAGCTCCTTTGTGTGCTTGTCTTAAGCGAACCAACCTAGCATGGTGTGCTAAGTGACCTCCTTTGGGCTATTTTGTGGGGGCCATTCAATCGCCTTTTTGGACCTGACATGTCGCAAGGACTTGAACTTGGAGGCCAACATGGACGACAAGGGCGACACACAGCAGCTCAGATCCGCAAAAAAGAAAGCCGACGGAGCAGGTCTTCTGGGGGCTCGGTTTCCCCTTTGTTTCAGGCTCGGTATGACCGTTTTGGTGGAGAAATCAACTGGCTCGCCATTGTGGGGGCCTAAATCCAAAAACAGGAACCCATTTTGACCTTTTGATTTTCCAAATGAGGTCCAAATTTTGTCAGGGTTCCAACCAGGTATTGTTGTCAAGACCCCCTTTGTCGGGCCCCAATTTCGATAATTAGGCTAATGAGAGACCGCTTGTTGGGGCTAAGCAGGGTTCCTTTTGAGTGTCTTTTGTGGGGTGTCCTCTCTCCTGACGATGGGAAAAGGTGCTCAACTGTGGTGTGACTGTTCATGCCGGGCTTCCTTTTGGCTTCCCTTTACTAGCCATAAACAAGGTACCAACCCAAACAAAAAGACCCACTCATGAATGAACTTCAGTTTGGTCCCATTTTTAGGGTCCCCATTGACACTCTGTGCATGGATCAAATTCTGGGGAGCCTTTGGAAAGTCCGAACCCACCACTCAGCCTCCGAAGCCACCACTGGAGCTCCGCTGCCGGATATTTGATCGGAGGAAGAGCTTGTGGTTCGGCCGCGTCTGGGAGCTCCGGGCGCTCTTGGAGTGCCTCACGCAGGACAAGATCACCCGCAGCAAGGACCGACCCGCCGCACGTGGCGGCACGCGGCTGGGAGCCCCGCACGGGGTGAGAAGTGACTGGGGGTGGTTTCTGCGGGTTTAAAAGCCTGAATTTGGGGCTTGTTTTGGCCTATCCAGGGCTAAATTTAGGATCATTTGGGTGGATTGCTTTGAGTGTCCCTTTGAAGGCCTTGCGGGGTGGGCGGTTTTTTCCTGGTTCCGGCTCAAAAACCATCGAGGTGTGCGGCTTTCTTTGGCTTCTTTGCAAAAACCATCTCTCAGAGGTGCTCCTCCAATGAAGCCTAGCAACTTGTCAGCTGAACCCGTGTCAGTATGAACAATGCCAGTAGCAAAACTCATGATTTACACAGGTGGATGGTGATTGGGACAGCGAACAAGAAGAAAACCCCTCCACACCCCGCAAAGTACGGTGTACTGTGCACGTCTCCGGCCAGGCAGGGAAGTCCCATGGCAACCATGCGGATCCCTTCCCTCTCCAGTCAAGCGGCTATGCATTCAAGACTAGGTCCCCCAGTTAGGGTGCCCCTTTAACAACTTTTTTGGGGGAGGGTTCCCTACCAAAATTTACTACAGAAAAAAGGGTACCCTTATACTAACCTCTCTACTGGAGCACCTAGAAGAGGCGGAACCAGCTCAAAACAATGGTTGGTGGACAACAATGCCCACCCAAAGCATTTCCACCAAAGGGTCCTTTTGGTCCCATTCAATATTAACACCCATATCGCCCCCGATAAATATTCCTTGGGCTTGATAGGGTCGCAGAGAGGTTCCATGGTTTCCTTGTCCAGATGCTTTCCCTAGTAATTCTGTAACCCTAATTTTTTAATTTTAGCCTGCAGGTCTCCAACCCCCTTCAAACCCTTCAATCGGTTTGCGCCGCATTTGCCGCTCTCTCCCGGCTCCGCCCCCGCGAGTCGCATTTTCCCGGACTTGCAGGAGGAGCAGGAGAGCCTCTCGGAGTTTCGGAAGCGCGAGATCAAGATCAAGCTGCGCCTCGGCCCCCTCGGGCCTCCGAAAGGGAAATCGGAGCGGGCACTGGCGGATGGGCTGTGACGTTCCATGTTGCCGAGGGGCGACCTTGTTTGGGGGGAGGAGGCCAAAAGGGAACCAATTAAGCCAGTGTGTGTTTCTCCGATGACGTACCCTCACTCCAACGTGCTCGTGGAAGTGGACGTCTTGGGGCTTCACCAAAAGGAAAGTAGTCTTCCAGGCCCCTCCGATCATCAGCTTCCATGATTGCTGAAGAGGGAGGGTAAAACAAGGGACCTGGGAGTATGTGGAATGGAGTCTTACAGTTTTGGGATGCATCAAGCTCCTGCTTCATGGTGAGTTTTTACCACAGATCAATCTAGGCTCGTTTTGGGGATCCACCCGGCTGAGCCTTCCGGGGAAACGGTGGTGTCCAGGAGGCGAGTCTGCCAAGGGAACGCAGGACAAGACCTATGGCCATTGCTACGGCAATGGGCTCACATGGCGCCATGCGCCAGTGTGGAGACCATGTTTGTTTCACATGTGATTATTAGATGATGTTTGAAGAGAAAGGCAAAGGAAACCGACCATGTCGGGGACTTGCCCTTTTCTGATCCCACTATTTTGGCATTGTCACCCTTTAAGTAGCACCCTCAAGACCAGTCAAAATGTGAAAGAGTGACCAAAGACCCCAGTACTCTTTGGAGCACATTTCTTGAAGGGGGTCCCTTCTTCAACTGAACCAACTTTTCGGTATGACCATTGTAGTGGCAAACCAAAGGTTTGGACTTGTTCTGGCCAAACCACTCAGGAGCGACATTTGTGCAGGGGGGCCTTTTTCAAGTGAACGCATTTCAAAACTTCCGTGGTATGTGGGTGTGTCTTCTTTTAGCGAGCCCCCCCACAACAAAAAAGATAAGCTCAGGTGATATCCCCAACAGCATGCGGTGCTCTTTTTAGTGCTCGCACCACCCCGAAGCCCTCGCAGGAACCCTGGTGGAACCCTCGTTGGAACCTTACCTCAGGGCCGCCCCGGACCACCCTGGAGCCTATCTGAGACCCCAAAGCTGTCAGCTGTTGGGGAGAAAGTGTTCCAGGGCTCCTGAAAAGATACATTTCGCAACCATTTGGAACATGTTGCTTTTTCCACAGCAAAATAAAGGGAAACCACCATTGACAAGTTGCAATGTTTTTCATGCCTCCGGATCCCTGTTCCTGTTCCTTTGTGTCGAAGCCTTCCCGAGGAAGGACCCCTCGGTGCGGCTGAAGCTGAAGAAGATCGCGGCCCATTGGCGCGGCGCCGCCTTCCGCTCGAGGTGCTCCTTCTCGGTGCTGGAGCGCTTGAAGTACTCCTACCTCCGAGGCGAGGCTCAGATCGAAGACCGAAAAACTGGGGCGACCGCTTTTGGGTGTTTTTGTCTCAGGGCGGCCGATTCCTTTTTTTTTTTTGGGGGGGGGGGGTTCCAAGGAAAACGGTGGTTTTTGTGCGTGGTTGCTTTCTTGGGGCGAAAGGGAAGCCAAAATGAAGCCTTTTTTTGTTTCTTTCCGGGGGGGGGGGTCTTTTTAGGGGTCACTGAGAGGGAAACCAAAAGAAAAAAAACCAGAGGGTCCCTTCTTAGCACCTTAGGATGTACTTGGTCAAAAAGGGGGCAAAGTAGATACTCAAAAGGTACTTGGACCCTTAGGGCGTCCTGTTCCTTTTATCGTGTTTTTGTCAATGCTGGCTTCCTGAGGGATACAGCCCGAGGAGAAGCAAAAGGGAGGGATGCCCTCCCACCCACTAAGTGGGAACCTGACTCTGACTGGGCTGGGGGGGTGGAAGATTCGGGGAGAGGGGATAATGGGACATCAGGACGAGTAACCCCTGATTGATTGATAGCGGCTGTTCCTTTGAAGAGGGGTTTCTTCACTTCCCAAGCGGATAGCCTTCCTTTCACTACCCGTGGAGCCCACTTAGGGGTCCTTCAAGACTGTCTTCCGCTTGATACCAGGGGAGAATGGGAAGCCAGGATCGACAACCCCCTGGTTGTTCAACGCAGGCGTAGGGCGTTCCCATGTGAAAGGGAATCCTTGACTTTCCGCTGAAACACACCCGGATCAACATGCAGATGAACATTGCTCCCCCCAAAAACCGTTTGTTCTAGAGGAAGCTCCTTTTGGCGACGCTCGGTTCCCTCCCAATACTTCCCAGTGTTCATTGTTATACTACGCCCGTGTGGTTACTCGGGGTCCAGTGGGCTACAAATCAAGACATGCGATCGGTGTCCTTTTTGGCTCAAAGTGGTTCAACATCATGCGACCTTCGGAAAGATAAGGGGGCCGTAGAACCCCAAAAACAGATAATCTCCTTACGAAAAGGTAACCACCCCTGAAAATCGTTCGGTCCCTTCAGATGAATCCGTGAACATTAGATGGTTCTACTCATTTACCCAAAAACATCTATCTTTTTTCCGAAAGGGCACCACAAACAGACGGCCCATTCCGTTTCTTTCCCAAAATAGCCGGGGGGGCCCGGGGCGGCCCGGGGCTCGTACCTCGCAGGCACCTTGATCTACGCGCACGGCTCGGGGGGCTGCAGCTGGGACAACTTCCGGATCTGCCGCATGATCGCGGCCATGGGGATCCTGGTGATCGCCCCGGACGGCTTCGCCTACCCCAAGAGCACCGCCATGGGCGAGATGAGGCCGAAAAATGAAAAATGGGGCCGAGGGAGCAGGTTGGGGGGTTGGTAAATTGGGGAAACCGAAAAGAACATAGCGTCCCCCTATCTTGAGGCCAAGGACATGTCCGACTTTCAAATGGGGAGCATATTTGGGGTTGGTGTATGGGGAAACCCCCCACGAAAACAACCGGGAAAGTAGACCCATTCTAGAGGGTCGCCTATTTTGAGACCAGGGGACTTGCCCATGGACCCATCCCTCTTCCGGTCAAAAGTGGTTGTTATTGGGGGCCAAAGGCAAAAAGACAGTTCTTTGGAGGGTTCGAGTGTTTGCAGGACTGTCTGAACTTTATACTTCTGAATTACTTGTTCGGTACACAAAGCGCGTGGTGTCCTTCGTTTCAGAAGGCTAAAAGCGGGTACACAGCCTCCAAAACACACAAACCCGAGCTACAGGTTGGCGCAATTGCAGCACTTGATCTAGGAAAGCGTCGCGAGAACGTGGCGACTCCCCGTTCAAAAAGGAGTGTGTTTTTCTTGTTGGACCCCCCCCAAAAGAAAAGGGCATCGGTCTTCCTCTTGGTTTCCCCTTAAAACCACCACACCAATACAATAATCAGCACAAAGCGACGTGAAGCCAATAGTCCTGGTCTGAGGTTTGAGGGGGGACCTGCCATGCCTTTCCAAGAACTGAAGATCGTGTATGGTAGACCCATAGGCCGGCTATACGTCTGATATGTCTGAGCTCACCACGGGGGTAGATGGCATGGTCTCATCCCCTTGGGGATTTTCTCAGAGAACTCTCCTGGCGGAGCTGCGGAACAGGGAACTTGGCGCTTTTGGGCGTTCCATATATGGGTGTGGTGCCCCTTGTTTGAGGTTGGACTCCCCCAAAGTGGCTTCGGTTTTCCTTTTGGTTTCCCATTAAAAGCCACAAACGTGAGCCACACCCGCATTTGGCGAACCCAGCGTTTGACTGCCCCAGCCCTGAGGCACAAGTCGCTGGCGCCGTTGCACCATGGAAGAGATCATATTGGCTGTCATTCAGGGCAACCAACTAGCAGGGATACAGGGGGAACCAGGGATACGGGAGGATTCCCCCTAAATGCACCTTGGCTAAGTTTGACATGGGAAATGGCGCCAAGGGAATCCCCCCATATCGGGACCCGCTCCCTCCGAATCCCCGCTTGTTCGTTGGTCCAATGTCATCTCTAATCTGAGGTCTCATCCAAAGCCACGGCACTTTTGAAGGTAGACTAACTACGACTAGCATCTGATCATACATTTTTTGGCACAGAGGGGGTCTTTTCGCCACCTTTTGTGCGAAAATCGGCGACTTGCTGAAAAAGGAATCCTTCACTACAAGGGGGTCGAACAGTTTTCCACAAAAGGTGGCTGTGGCTCAAAAGACCGGTACCAACACGGAACCCTGGTAAGTGGAAACATGGACCAGAACCTGCGTAACCCCTCCTGTTTAGTTTTGAGCCACACCTAGGTGGCAAAAGGACCCCCCTGTTTTGGCACTCCCTTCGGGCGACATTGAATGGCAGAGCCTGGCCGGCTCGAAGTTCCAAAAAAACAAAGTGATCATCGGGAGTTTGGGTGTCGAGTTGAAAAAAAGAGAAGTCCTTGGATGGTCGGACAACAAAAACACTTAACTGACTGGCTTCATGTTGGTTTCACCAAAACACCATCCTCAACAGACCGAAGAGGTGCCTCGCTTTGACACAGGTGTGCTCTCGACTTTAACAGATGATACGCCTAATATGATTGTCAAAAGGCCGAAAAGCATGGATTCGACACTCACATCTCCGACTGGCTTCACCCAAAAGCATTGGATTCCCCTTGATCAAGTTTTCCTTGGTGCGTGTTGCTGTGATGTACCCCCCCCCCCATCAAAAGGACCCGTTCCGCCACGTGATTTTTTGCAGGTCACGGGACAAAGGTGTGTCACTTGTGAGGGGTATCTTTGGTGTTGACAAAATGTTGATCCTCGAAAGGTAGCCTCAACAATACACATGAGCCACGTGCTCAAAACCCGGGTAAGTGAAGGTTAGTAAGGGAAACCCCCAACCATAAGTGGCTGCGGCCGCCATTGTAGTTCTTTAAATGGTTCTGGGATTACGACCACTTTAATACCGGGTGTCGAGCTTGTGACTCACATGTGTCAGGATTCGAATCTAAGGCATAAGGCGAGCGATGACGTGGACTACTGGGCCAACGACTTGCTCTACACGTCTTCGGCCTGTGGAACCTTCAACTACTCCACCAGCGCCGACTCAGCCTCTCGGCGGAAAACGACAACGAACGACCCGGAGACTCAGTGGGGCAACGTCCATGTCAATGTGCTTCTTCCCTCGTTTTTTTTTTTTTTTCTTTCGGGTCCTTTTGAAGTCAACCAACAAAGGGTGCCCCTTATATATTCTTCCCCCTATGGCGACAGGGAGTCTGGGACTACTGTGGGGCCCAGTTCTAAGGCAACTGTTTGAGTTGCCCTTCGCTTCATGAGTCAGTTTTCGGCGGAGCCTAGTTTTGTTTTGTTTGCTGAGGTCAAGTGAACATATGGTCTTCTGGTCAGCTTGAGCAAGAGCCGAAAAAGAGAAAAAAAAGCTTCGCTTTGTTTTGCGTACCCGATCAGATCTTAAATGAGTTTGCTTGTGAAGACGTGTTTTGAGTCATAGCCCATCAGATGAGTCGATCGCCAGCCCGGCGATCCGCGACCGGCTCGACTTGGTCCATCGGCTTTCCGTGTGGAGAAAACCCCGTCCGGTTAAACCAGCCCTTTAGAAGCTTCCAACCTCCCCCCGCCCAAACAAAACAGGGGTCATACACCATCGGGGTTGAAACAAAGGCTCTAACGAATGTGTCGCCGTTTTTGTTCAACCTACCAAAGCCGCTGCAAGTCTGGGTCGGGCCTTGCGGATTTTCTTGCCACCAATTCAAGTCGGGGGGAGAAGGGCCAACACAGCCAAGTTCGTTCAATGAGGAACCCCCTTTTGGATGGTGTTGAAAGGGGAGCACAAATTAGAGCAGCCATTCTTTTGGAGTGCCGAGCTTCTTTTATGCCGAGCAAGCCACAAGGTTCCCAATCATGGCGTTGGCTCACTCTTGGTGGCAACTTCTTAGTACCCCGCCTCAATCGGTTTGGTAAATTTGTGCCTTTCCTTTCCAGCGCAGATTTTGGGCGAAGGTATGGCGAGATGTGTTTCGAGTGACCCTGAATCCTCCATGTGTTTGTTTTTGTTTTCTTGTTGGGGGGGGGGGCAACCAACTGATTTTCGACTTGGTTAAGCTGAAGGGCTGAAGGTTGTCTCTTTGCACCAAGGTAGCCATCCACATATCCTCAACAACCATCCGCATGTTGTTCAAGCAGTACCTCTTTCAGCTCGCTCATGGGTCCTGAGTCGCATCCATTTCCCAGGTCTTGAAGGAGCCCCAGGACTACAAGGCGCGGGCTGGTCCACGCGCGCAGATTTTGCGAGGAAAGACCTGGGCCTTTTAGGGAAACCGAAAGGAGGGCCTTGTTTAAGACTGAGTCGTCGTAGACGGCGCTGGTGTAAAACGCTCATTTTGCAATTCTTCCCGGGGGGGGGGGTTGGGGGGGGGGAGAGGGTGTTACCGTTCGGACCATATGCAGTTGCACGCACAAACACACAGCTCTGTGCACACAGGTGGAGACCGCACCGGGGCCCTAAGGCGCGCGTGCACATATATAAGCACACATACATCAGTATACACACACACACACACGCACTGACTGCTCAGTTTGCATGATCGGGACCCTTGCAGTTTATGTTTCTTTCGCTGCGGTTGCCGCTCTTGGACATTAGCCAGTTCCATGTTCCATGGCATCACCGTCTACCCCTCCATGTAAGCGGCGAACCACTGCATTTCGGAGTATGTGTACTTTAGCATGCTCCGGTATAACACAGCGGGCTGTATGTGGACTGCTGTTGGCCTTGTGCAGCGACTTGAGGCTGCTGGTTCCACAATAAACAAATCAACACATAGTGTTCGTCGGTTTGTTTTTCAGGCCTCTGGTTTGCAACGCTCTTTCCCAGTGGGGCATCGGCTTTGAGTCACTTATACGCAGGAATTACCCATGAATCCTGGCTTTGCGATAAAACCGGAGTTTGGCGCGCGCGTGGCGGGCCTGGGGGACTCAGCCATTTTCTGTGATGGTTGCCGCGCTTTAACGGCTCAATCGCGCGGGGCCACGAACACCGTCTTAGGCCTGAGTTGGCGGGTTGGTGGGTTGGCTGGGTTGGTTGGGTTGCTGGGTTGATTGGGTTGCTTGGTTGGTTAAGATTGGGCAAGGGTTGGCCCAAAAGGGGCTCAGTTGGCCAATCCGTTTGGATTTCGGGGGGCGGAAGGGGTCAGCTTTGCCGGAAACCCATGCCGGAGAGGAAGGGCACAGCCCATGTCCGCCCTACGGTGTTTCCTTGTTTGGGTGGGCGCCCCGTCAAGCAACAGGCCGGAAACATGGAATCCGATGTCGGGAACAAAGGAACAAAAACAAAAATACGGTTTTTCTGCGAATGGGAGAACCCCACGGGCGGTTTTCCAAACCATCCCAAGATCTCCCTTGCAAAAACCTAGCCAAGTGATGTCCAACAGCTGGCGGGTCGATCTCTTGACCTTTTGGCCCATTAGCCGAGAATATAAGAGGAGACCCTCCCAAGTCGAAGGCTTGAAGGAGACCGGGAGCATCCCAACTTTTTTGGGGCCCAGGGCCCTGCCGGATATAACCTGCACAGTCCACATAGCCTAAAGAAGGTCACTTCACAAAGCAGTTGGTAGCCGTGAGGGCTGCGTGTCGTTTTTGAGTTGGTACCCCTTTATTGGTGGCTTTAAAGGACAACAAGGAGCACCGCTGGGCCAACCGGAGGGGTGCACTCTAAACGGGGGGTCGTGGCAGGAGCTGTACGAGAAGTGCTACCAGCTGCGCCGGTCTGAGCTCCACTTCACCATCGCTCGGCTGCCCAGGTGGGTCTTGTCCCAGGCTGGCCGGGGGGGATTGCCGCTGCGCGCTTGAAACAAGTCGGAAGGAGGAGACTGGCGGGTTTGTGAGAAGATGTGCGAAGCGTCCATTTGCGTTTCAGAAAGAATCTCGTTTTTCCGGAGTTTGCAGGGAATCTATCACTGCTGGAAATATGTCCTTTTTTCCAGGAGACTCTGCTGCGAATGGAGGCTAGATACATGGAATTGGGCCCAGTAGGGTTTGGAAAGCTTAAGGCAAGGGATGGTCCAGGCTCAATGGGACGCCAAAGGACTTCCATGATATTTGGGGTTCCTATTTTGAGACAAGCCCATTTGAGGTTCAGTCAAGTTTCCAGCAGTCCATGGATTTGTGGGGGACAAGGGGCAACTCCTGAACCGTTTCACACACACACACGCAAAGAAACAAGCATGGACTCGCTAATTGTCCCGCACCCTTTTTTTCATGAGAAACATTTTCCGTTTGGTGGTCCATGTCGGAAGGGTCTCGGGAAGGTTTACATGGAAGTTTTAAATTAGTTTGTAGGGGAGTACAGTTGGGGGCTGAAAGTAGATGGCACAATCTTCGAAGAGGACTTGCGGACATGGGAAAATTGCCATCTACCAAATCACCCCGGTGTACATCGGCCCGTGTGTTTGTGCTGTTAGTATTACTGGAAAGAACGGTCCAGACTACAAAATTTGGGTGTGTCGTTGTTTGTGTGTACCCTTTTTAGGCTGGTTTCAAGAGAAACCACGAACGAACACCGAACCCATGTTGTGGGTTTCATATTTCCTATTTCGAGACAAAGTCATGTCTTGCGCGCTCATCGAGCTCTTCGCGGTTTTTTTTTGAGGTTTGGGCACCGCCAAACCGCGCCGAACCGCGCCCGCGCTCGCGCTTTGTGCTCGGCAGGGCTTCTTTTTGGGCGGAACCTCAGAGGGTGCCATGACGGTGGCCCGCTTCGACGACCAGCGCTACGGGGAGATGGCGCCCTCTCTGCGCGCGAAGTGGGGAAAAATCGGTGCGTGTGTGTGTGTGTGTAATGTGTCGGGTGGACAACCACGAAATGATTTTGACACACATGCCCAGATCTCGAATGAAGATGCACGAGGTGTTTCGATGAAAACCCTGGAGCTCCCAAGCATGCATCGTCAAGAGTGGCAACATGTGTGAGTGTGTGTGTGTGTGATTGTTGGAGGACTCATTTCACCTCGCTTTAAAGGAAAGAAACAGAGAACATCACCACTTTTGGGGTCCCTATGTTACATGTTCCTGGCGGCTCAGCAAGAAGCAAACAATATCACATGTGTAGTTACACATTTCATAACATGTTGCAATCATGGCTTCAAGGCGTTCAAGACCAGCCAGGCAACATGACAACCCGATTCGAAAGCAATCTAGGTATAGGCGAAAGCCAAGTAAGACTCTCCCAAAGTAGGAGAGGGGATGGATCCAACTCAGCAAGTGGTGCCGTGATTTGGGATTCCCACGTCTGGAGTGCTTCCTTAGGCTTGCCTTGTCCGCCTCTCAAAGGGCAAGTGGAAAGCAATTTGGAGGCCGAGGCTTATGCCTTTCAAGGTGAGGGCTGTTTATGTTCAGCAGCCGCTTCTTCTTTTTCTTTTGACGGGGGGGAGTTGGATGGCCAGACGATGTGGGCGGACTTGGCTTGGGTCGTCACGAAGGTAGGCTTGCAAAATGGAGCCAACACATGCAGACCCAAAAGGAACCCAAAGAAGCTGATACCTGGAGTCTCCATGACCCTTTGAAAATGGGGTCATTACCCAAAATCAAGGGGTCATGGACCCATTTTTAAAGGGTCATGGAGACTCCAGGTAAACCCATTTTGCATTGATGGCCCTTGACTCAAAAATTCCAGGGTGGTAGGCAAAGATGTGAAACTCCTAGGCCAAGGGTTGAATGTTGACCAACATAAAAGTGAGCGCGCGTGAACAAGCAAACCACAGGCCAAGCCCTCTAGATGCACTGGGCCAGTCCTTGCTGATGCTGTTGTTTTGTTTTTTCGGCGATTCGCTCGAAGCCACAAGTGCCCACAAAACGCACAGCGGCACCCTGATGTGCCGTGTTCTGTTCAAGCAACTTTGAACTAATTTGATTCCCCCCGGCTCCTGTAGCGTCTCTGCCAAGAGACGTCTACTCTGAAACCAGTGAGTGAGTTCAGGAGCTGAAACGGCTGTAAAGTGCATGTTTGGAACACCCGCAAAAATGAAGCATGCCACTGCGAAGCTCTGACAGCTTTAGGTCATTGGGAGGTTTATCAATTCCTTCAGCATCGAATACTGCCGCTCGGCCGGGCCGGCTTTCGGCCAGAGAATCGGAGCCTCATGGGTTAGTGGGATCTCTGGTGTGGGGCTCTTGGCATCGCTGTCCCATGGTCCTCGATTGTGCTGCAGAGCAGAACCCACCGGGAGCAAGCCACCGTCCCTGGATGTTGAGCCCCAGCACAGTATCCACTGGGGATGGTTGTAAGTCAGACGGCACCTGCCATACCAATCTGGGGGTTTGGTGCAATTTGGGTCCCCAAAAAATTGGGCCCTCAGTTCCCCAAGAGTTCGCGGCTTGGTTTGCCGCTTGGTTTGCTGCGTCTTTTGGTGCGGTTTGGCTTCCAAGACAGTTTCGCTGCCTTCTAAGGCTACTTCACCCCGGAGCGTGAGGCAGGGCTCATCGGGGGCCAGCTGGATGTGCCCACGCTGAACATCATCGGCACCAAGGCGCACTTTGGGAGACTCCTCGTTTCCGACTGGTTTGGTTGTGGCTCAAAAAAGCGGAACTTGTTTTGGGGCTCCCTGGGTGGAACCAAAGACCAAGACCTGCGAAACCCAGCCCTCAAATTTTGAGTTGCACCCGTTTCTAGAGACCTTCCTCGTTTCCCGTTTTCCTTTTCTACGTAGTGAGTTTGGCCCGGCAAGAACGTGTTCGAGATTGGCGGCCAAATTCGCTGAAATGGTTTCGTTTTGTTTCGCCCTGGTGGAATCAAAGGAAAGTCCATCACTGGTGAGATATATATATATATATACATACTTTGGTGCATTTTGCTTGGATGTTAGGACTTTAACTTTTTGCCAACTAATGGGTGTTCCACTAAAGTTAAGCTTTTAGCAGGGGAGCAGAAAGCAACCGAGTATATATATATATATATATATGTCGTGTTTCTTCTTTTTCTTTTTGCGAGGAGAAACGCCTCCAATTTGGCACAGCATGGTGCTGTATCTTTTTGGTTTCCCTTAGACACCAAAAACAGTCCAAAAAAGAGTTCAAATTGGAATGTGGGCACAACAAATTGTTACAGACTTTTTGGTAGATATGAAACTTCGGTGGACCATTATCACCACCTGCGTTTCGTCAGCATCACCAGCATCACCAGCATCACTTGACCAGTTCAGGGCTGATCCATGAGCACATGCGCGCTGAGAGTCCAGCATGAAGCAACCACATGCTGCTGATGCTGGGGATGCTGCCTCTACTCCTCCCAGATCTCACAAGGGTCTGACAATGCCCATGGGCAAAGAGCGCTACACGACCCTTGAAGCGACATCCGGAGTGTTTCCCTGAAACGTGATCCACCCAGGAAGTTCCCTCGTAGTCAAAACACGCCCACGTCCTGGGCGGTTGATTTTGGCGTGTCATGTTTTGGAGGCTTCCATGTTTAGGTTGTCATGTTTTGGAAAGCGAGGGGGAAACAGCCATCGTGACAGAGGGATCCAGACCCAGTTTTGACACACACCCATTTGGCAAGGACCTATCATCAAAGGGTCTCTTAGTACCATTTTTATATATATTTTTTTGGTTATGTGTTTGTTTTTTTCTCGCAGAATCTGCATGTGACGATTGGTCCTCCTCCCAAAACCAAGGGCTGGCTGACAAGACCCTGCCTTAGAGTCCATGAGCCGCAGGACCAGTACTTCGGCCCCGTGGAGAGCGTGGCGAAGGTGGTGGCCGTGAACGGCGTCACGGGATACGGAGACAAGAACTTGACGGGGAACGGGTACAAGACCATGGTCCGCCGCGAAGCCGAACTATGGGTCCCTAATAGGCGCGGTCAAAAATGGGAGCTGAAATATGGCGAATATTGGGAGTCAACAAGGCGCTTCAGGCGGGGGAGGCCCTCGCCCAGCAGAGGTCATGGAAAAGGGATTTGGGAAGCAGCCCTGAGGTAAGCTCTGAGGCGCGGCCAGGTCATGGAAAAATGAAACCACCTCCAAAGTGGTTGGTGGCCATAAATCCGCACCTACATGGTGTCCACCACAGGGTCCCTTATTAAAATTCACATCCAAAGGGGTCCATGTTTGGGGGGATCTCAAAAGTGGGTATACCCGTTTTGGGCCATGGTTTATGTGGGGCCCGCCTTTAGGGTCCTTTGAGTGCGTCTGGTTTTACGAATCGACCCCCCGAAATGGATTTTGGTCTTCCTGTTGGCGTCCCTTTAAAACTAAAGCAGACACACCCATTCGCCCATTCGGTCCCTATTTGATGCTGTCGAACAGACGAGCTGGCAGATCAACAGAACGGCACGGCCCATGGGATTCGTTTCGCCCTGCCCTTGGCCAAAAATGGTACAGTCAAACCCAACTTGAGGTGTACCGCACTTTTTGCCAACGGCGCCTTTGGAAGTTTGACCAAATCGGGACCTGGGAAGCCACAGCGCCTGGAGAAGTCTCGGGGAAACCTCCCGGAGTCTCCTTCCGACCCTGTAAAAATGGGTCCATGACCCCTTTGTTTTGGGTAATGAGCAACCATTTTTAAGGGGTCATGGAGACTCCAGGCCCATGTTTTTCAGAAATCCTGGCGGTTTCTTCTTTTTTTGCGGGTTGAGTGGTTGGGTGTCCAGTTTCACCCACAAGTTCGTCACTGATCCTTGCTTCTTGGCCTTTTAGGTTGAGTGGTTGGGTTTCGATTTGCACCCACTAAAAGTTCGGTCACTTTTAGCGCATCTGAAAACGGACAGCCCTGTTATCACACAAAATCCCAGAACACCTCCCCGTGTGGCTTGTCTCTCTCCCTGCAATGGTCCTCTGAGCCCGCAGATCCTAGAAGACAACGAAAAAACATCAACATCAATACTACTTGATGTTGTTGTTTTTGATTGAGCAGAAGCTGGTTGAACAGAGGGACTCATTCACCTGCTCCAAGGCCAGGGTCTGGATATTGGCCTGGTATGTGTCCTGGAGCCGCTCGGCTGCCGGAATGATTGTTATGTTTTCCACCTGCTGACATGGACCTCCCCGGGGGGGGCGGGGGTCTGGAAGACATGTTTTTGTTCCAAAGGCATGGCCATCTGGAGAGCGGCGGTTTCCTTGCTCCCTGCGTATGGGCGAAGATGCACTGAGCATGCCATCTGCCGGGCGTTGTTTTATGTTTTTGGCACCCTTTCAGGTTTGCGGCGTCACCCCGATCTAACAAAAAATAAGCCCTACTGTGGATGGACGAAATCCTGCACCACCTAAGATTCTCTGGAATGATGATTCTTCTGCAAATACCAACAAACAAATTGGTTCCCATGTTTCAAAGTAGTGCAGGATTTTGTCCATCCACAGTATCAAAACATAGTTGGACCCAATGCACATCTTGACCTGGATCGCAGTGAGTCTTTGAGCTCGGCTGGATTATTTTTCTCCGAGGGACGGAGTGCACTCGCCCTGCGAAACCCACGACAACTTCCTGCGGCAGCTCTTTAACACCTTCTTCTCCAGGAGGGGTTCATGCAGCGTAAGCTAGCCCAGCAAGAAGCACTGCAAAGTGGTCAATCTGCGTTCTAGGCTGGTTTGCAAGGCAATGCCGATGCTTTGTTTCTTCAAATAACTCGAGATGCATGGCTAACATTTGAATGGAAGTGTGATTCCGCTGGCCTTCTTCGAAGGATTGTAAAATTGAGAACCACGTCGTAGGATCAGGTCTGGATCAGGTCCGTGAGAAGCTTTGGTAGGGCGATTTGTTCAAGGCTTGCATTCCAAGGGTCTGACGTTGCCCACCCAGGGATTGAGGGTTTTTGGAAGATTCGCCGCGGCGCCCGCGATGTGTTCGTTTGGTCCCCGAGGTGTTCGTTTGGGATCGCTTCGCAAGTTGGGTTGCCAGCTGTCAGTCGGGTGGCTCAAACTGGCTCCCTGGAGGCCCCACAGCGGAAAGGGGATTTCGATACATCATGAGCTAGCAGTTTCTGTGAAAACCGGCGAGAAGTTATGTGGGTCGATCATCATAGCTGACATATGGCGTGAGTTTCAGCTTGGGATTATCTCGGACCAGACATTCCTCATTCAAATTCATAGCCACATCACCGACTCCACTGTCTAAGGAAACATGTGTCAATGACCAAGTTACTAGGTCGTTGACACGTGTTTGCTTCTTCGACCCCCGCATAGCGCATGGATTGTATCTTCACGGCTTCCTTGCTTTGGCTTCAGAGTTGCTGCTTGCGTGGGTCTGCAGTGTCCCGCGGCTCAACGAGCAACATTTTTCATCGCTCTCCCTTCCAACATGGGGCCCGCACCCCCATTTTGTCGGGTCGCAGGACAAAATGCCTGCAATCAATTTATGGGGACGGGTTCATCTATGGATGCTGACTGAATAGAGAGATCATTCACCAGAGAATATCCCTTCAGCCAGTTCCGGGAACGGTTTGTTTGCTTCAGTCAAAAGGGGCGTGTCTCTTTCTGCTGGTAATTACCCTTCTTTGGTTGCTCAAAAAAGCAGAAAAAACACACAGCTTGTTTTTGGGGCGGGTAAGTCAAAAAAAAACACATCGCCATAACTTCCAGCCCTTTTTTTAGGGGGTGTTTCAAACATCTCCATTTTGGCGCATCGCTGGGGTTTCCGCCTTGGGATCTTTGGGAGGACGGGCTCCATCTGGGAGCTGCACATGCACCTGGGCTACGGGAGAATTCGGCGAAAGCGTTGCGTGAGGCAAGTGGAATGTACAAATTATGCTGCTGACTGGGTAGACTTAGGATACATTTCGCATTTTACCAGTGACTCAAAGTGAAACACAATATAACATATGCATTCTGTAACTGGGCCTAACTCTAATCATGCTGAAGTGTGACAATATTTGTACATAGACATATATCAGTATATATACAGATGTATACATCATATGTATCTGCGTAGATGTAATTTATGCATGTTGATCCCTTTCTGGGTGTATCTCCATGCTTGACCCTTGCGCCGCGACGGGCCCCCCTCTCCCTCTGCCGACCTTTTTGCTGCTTCGGGCGGAGGGAGCAACCGAGCACAAGGTTAGTGATCCATATCCCATCTTGAAGAGTCTTTCAGGGTGACGAATCTTGAGGCGAAACATCGAATCGAGATCCCTAGCGGGAGGTTTCAAAACCAAGGAGATGGTTCCCCCTGTTTCCAGGAGTCGCACTGAGATTTTGGAGGCAGTCCTTTCTTTTGGTCACAACGTCCATGGAGTCTATCCGAATTGAATTGGAGATGCTCCTATCCGCTATGGCGAGCTTGGTGGTGCGAGCGAATGCCATGAAGGTTTTTAGGGGATTCATGACGTCAGGTTTTGGATTTTTTTTTCAGAATTTGCGAGTGTTTGTTACTAGGGTTCCGCTTGCCACCCGTGACCTGCTTTCTTTTCGGGTCACCTTTCGCAAGACAAGTTGACACAACGCCAGCTACAGGGTTGCTTCGCGCACGGGAAAGAAGCAACAAACTTCAGATGTGCACAAAGCGATTCCAACAGGGTCCATTTTAGTAGGTGGCTCGGTTTTCTACCTGGATTGTTTTGGGTATGCTAATGCCTATACAAACCTTTCGCACAATGTTAGCAGAACCAACACGTCAACGGGTGAAACACGCGCAACGCGGCGGATCTCGTCATGGGAATGCTTGGGATGTAGTTTGGATCCATCGGCTTCTGGTGACCTTTTTCCCAGAAAGAGTTCCCGACATGTGCAACCTGAGGCTTTGGTTGGAGAATCTACAGGAGAATCGGCCCCGAAACACCGCTGGATTTCCTGTAGAAGTTCCGAACCTGAAAACATCACCCGGATCTTTGGGGAAACCCACAGATGCCAGGGGCCCTGAATTGGCGATTTAAAACCTCTTCAAAAGACCTCTGAGCCTCGCTGAGGATCTGGCAGGCCGACCCGACCATGGCAGCTCTGGTGGAGCTGGCGACTTGACCAGCACAAGTCGGGGGTTTCCGGGTTTCCTTCATGTCTCTGTTTGGAAGCTCCAAACGTGGCGATCAGTTCAATGGAAGCCACCAGTAAATTGATCAACTTTGAAGGGTTGAAATCCAGCGACCCTCCCCAGCCCAACAAATTTGGAAGCCACCCTCTTTGCTTGATCAGTTTCAGGCTTGCGAGCCTTCAAAGGGCAGAACGTGGATTTGGTTGTGGTTTCCCTTCAGAGACCAATTGTCTAATTCGTTTCCTGTGGTGCCCTTCAAATATAGTTGACCAAAGAGACCCCTTCAGAGACCTAGTTTCCCTTCTCAATTTGATCAACTACATTCTCTTTTGGCATGCCTGGATAACATTGTGCGGCAACCTGATCTGAATCGCTTTGTTTCTGCAGGGGTTCCTTGTCATCCTTGGGATTGGTCCCAACACATCCCAACAACTGAGCTGCCCAAAGGGTAATGTCGAAAACCAAGAAGAAAAACAAGAACCGATTTTTTGAGGGGGCACCCCCCAAAATGGGTTCGGTTTCCCGTGAACACGTCACTCTACGTAGGGCAAGATACCTCTGGACTCTGTAACTCCACATCCTTATCATCCGGATCCCCTTAAGATCCCATTGTCCCGTCCCTTGAGGATCGCTGTCATTTGAATCCGGGCAAGCGTGAGCAAATGTGCGATAGGTAGGGAAAGAGTTGGAATGAACCCATGGTCCCCGAAAAAAGGAAGCCACCACTGGGATGGCTTGTATGAGGCGTTCCATTTCTCATTCCCTGCAGCTGTCGCACCGATCGCAAGACAAGGCCCGGAGCATCTCCAACTTGCCTCTGTACGCCCAGAAACTGACGGGAACAGGGTGTTCCTTGAGGTGTCATTCCCACATTGCGCGTCAAAAACTCTGCGGGAAGAGGTAAAAAGAGCCAGTACCCAGCTGGCCCTGATGTCTTGACCATGTGGCTCACTCCCTCTTTGGTTGGTTTTAAGGGGAAGCCACGGGGAAAACGGAAGCCATTTTGTTTCCGAATTTTCAGCCAAGCACGTTTGTGGTGGCCACTTCTGGCATTCCAGAGTTCCATGTACCTGAAATGAGCATTTATTCCACCATTCAGTCAGATGTGGTGGATGAGGAACCACAAACCATGGTGACGTTCTGTTTCCCCCCTTGTTCCCTTGCAATATTGCGGGCACCCACCTTTTTCGGTGGCTTTGGGGGAATGTCCAACTCAGGTGGCTACCACGGCATCTGGCGATGGTACTGAGGGCAAGAACGTGACGCAGTTGCGCCTCTGCGAATAAATATGTGGGTTTGTCTCTTTTTTTGTGGACCCCCCTCCTCAAACAAAAGAAGGTGGTTCTCCTCTTCCCACCCAAAAGGGTACGTTTCAAAAAGAACAAATACATTTGTGTTCTTCTTGCGAGGCCCTTATTTTGAGACCCCATATGGACCACAGTCTGGACATGAAAAGTTTAGGTTTCGCTCCCAAGGTTTGCGTGGGAAGTTTGGCGAGTACCACGGGTTTGGGGAAATTTAGGGTCCGTCACAATGGTTTTCCTTCCAAAGTCCATGTTCAAAGGAGATTCAATCTAAAGTTGGTGTTCCTTTCAAAGTTGTTTGCTTCCAAGTTGAGTTGAACAAATTATTCGAAACGTGACAGCGGATTCGATAAGCAGCACATAATTTGCGTGGGAATTGCTTTCCATTGTTGTTTGTTGTAAAACAATTTACATGCATTTCAATGGAATTACTTACACAAGAGAGGACCACGCTGTGCAATCTAGAATGCAATTTAGATATAGCAATGAATGCCAATGAATGCCATCCACATTGATGTGAAATGGATGCTATTTGAAACTCAATTTGGCCTACATGGATCATTTGTTGAACTTGAACTGGACGTAGTTTTGAAACACACTTTTATCGGGATTTCCTGTCTTTTTATTGTTGCTGTTGCTGTTGCTGCTCTGCTGCTGCGTCATTGTTTCACTTTAAACACGTTGTCTGATTTGGATTCCAATGGCATTGTACATCCCTTTTACACACATTTAGGTTTCAATTCCGATTGGCAAGGTTAAACAGACTATGCTTTGCAAAAAATCGATCTTGAACTTAATTCAGTTGACACCTGCACGGAATTCGACAATGAACGTAGGTCCATTGCAATTGAGATGCATTTTAAGTTCAAGGGCAGGTTAAATCAAATGTCAAGGTTTGGAGTGTCTGCTGCATGTGAAACGGACCAGAGTCGGGTCCTTGGGGTTGGGGGACGGTAGCATATATGTGCATATAGTATTATATGATGTGTGTGGTAACATGTGTCATATAATAATGTATATATATATATATATACACATATCCATACACATATGCATATTAACATACTCATGGTAGACTTAGGTTTGCACAGCATTTGGCCGCTAGTTCTGCAGCTTTGCCAAACAAAATCTGCCACCTCCAAACCTCGCCGGAGGTTTGTGCCGAAGATGAAGTTCCCGAACCACATGACGCTGCGAGAGGTGGAGCTCCTGCGAGCCCTGCACCACACGGACGAGATCGCAGCGGCCATGGAGGTGGAGAAGACGCTCATGGACACCAAGATGAAGGAGATCAAGGAGAGGGCGGTCAAGTTGTGAGGGCCACACAGGGATGGTTTTGCGTGGGGGGGGAGGAGGTAGGGTTTTGCTGGGGTTTTGTAGACAGTTCACAAGACATATATATATATATATATACACATTATCTGTACACATCCGTAACTTGTTTTTTGATGAAGAGATCAAGGAGAGGGCGCCAGTGGTGAGAGCTGCCACACAGGGATTTTGCTGGGGTTTTGCAGACATTTTACACTTTATATGTATATATACATAATATCTGTACACATCCGTAACTTGTTTTTTGATGAAGAGATCAAGGAGAGGGCGCCAGTGGTGAGGGCTGCCACACAGGGATTTTGCTGGGGTTTTGCAGACATTTTACACTATATATACATAATATCTGTACACATCCGTAACTTTTTGATGAAGGAGATCAAGAAGAGGGCGGTCAAAGGGTTGCGAGGGTTGGCGTACGCAGAAAGGAGGGTTTTGCCGGGCAGGGTTTACCTTACTCAGATGGGATTTTGCTGAGGTTTTGCAGAAGGTGTCGACGTTCATCTATATACACAGATGTGATTGGGGGGCAAATATCATCATGGACCGGCACGAATTATGGCGGAGCTTAGTGAACGCAGGTGAAACCATGGGCCCAATGAAGGTCCGCGGGGAATTCCTGAGCTCAGGTAGCTGAGATTGGTGAAGAGCATTCAGTACGGACAACCTGCATCCCAGTCACCTCCCAACATGTGGTTGCTCCTTTGGTTTCTCTTTAGACCGCCCCGGCACCAACTCCCAAAAAAGAAACACCGCACCGAAAAAATATGGCGATCCATGGACAGCTAGGAGCAGCTGGACAGGGCGCGGCAGGAGGCAGCCACACAGCGGAACCGCCACATCAAGCTGAAGAGCAACTGGTCCAACGGATTGACGGATCGATCCGCGGAGTTCGTGTTTTGTTTCCTGGGGTGTAATACACTGCGGACGGGGTTGAAAACCCGAAGGCCAGGTTGCCGTGCTGTCCACTAACATACCTCAAAACGTGGAGGTTACCCCCCCCCCCCAAATTGGTGTTTTGGATTGGATGGGGATTTGAACGACTGTCCCTGGTTTTCGTAGAGGGTGAACGGGAAACCAACCCGACCTCGCGGGGAAGCTGAAAGGTGGTGCTTCGGACAAGCCTCCAAGCCATCCCCTTAGTTTTGCAAGGCTGGTTTCAGGGGGTGGGAGGGAACCATTCGTTCATTTGTGGGGATGTTCTTCTTAACCATGACTGCGCTGGTCGGGAGGTTGATTCGATATCTTTTGTTTCTTAGGCCCCTCTTGGACCACCCAAATCGGCAGAAGTGCCTTTTTGGAAAAAGCCGCCTTTTTGCTGTTGGCGGCGTTTTTAGTTTTCCTGGCAGCGTTGTTTCAAAATCAAGTTCTGTGCAAAAAAGGCAGCAGGAAATCGGCGGAAGTCTGCGGGAACTCGGCGGAATTTTGCGGAAGCAGGTTTCAGCATGTCGGAGTGTTTGTCGCGTTTCGGCGTTGTTTGTTCTCGCGGGTGGCGTTTTGTTGGTTTGTTTTTTCTCCTCGGCAGCAAGTTCTGCCGCCGGAGGGTCCAGGTGTATATATAAGTCAATTTCGTTGTATTCGGGGGTTACATCAATACAATCAGGTGTTACACCAACTGGCTATAGGGAGCATCATGTGTCACGCTTCGAGGATTAAACAGGGGAACGAGTATCAGGGTGAGAGGATGAGGGGGTGCGGGGGCGATGGTTTTGGTGGGGGGCCGGGGACGACGGTTTTGGTGGGGGGGCCGGGGACGACGGTTTCGCAAAACCACCACGTCCCTTTGAAAGCGTCAAAAAACACAACCACTAACATTTTGGTGAAAAAGCCACGATTACCTAATATGGGTCACCCTCGGCTTCCCTCAAACCGCGATCCCGTAAGGGCGACTGTTTCGCAAAACCACCACCCCCAACCCCCGGCTTCCTCAAAGGAATATACCCCTGTACTTCCCCAACCCCTGGCTACCAAGTAAGAAATTCCACCAGCAAAAAGGAAATTCCCCCAGAAACTAACCGCAGCACCCATTAACTTTGCGACCTTCCACAAGTTGTTTGGGGGCTGCCCTGAGGACGACGGTCCTGCCAAACCCTCACCCCCAGCAGTCTCAGGTTTTCAGAAAGTATAGGGCGATTCATACAACTAGCAAGTCGGTGATGCGCTGCAACATAGTCCGCGTTTCAATGCCCGATGAACCGGCCGAGGGCAGACATTGACTTGTCACATCTTCTGAATTTGAAGCTGCAACAGACTGTCAGGGAGTACAATAACTCCAAGAACTTGACTAAATGCAAATGTTGGGCGCAAGCCTCTTCTCTGCCATAGACCACCCCCCCCCCTTGACGCTGAAGTGGCAGCAGTTCTATCGCTGCTAGGCCCATGACACCCGAATGGAATGTTATGGCACCTGAATGCAACGAAATAGCCTTATATATATATTATATGCTACAAAAAGTCTTGAAAAAGGTGGTTAAAATCAAGCAACACCTAGGCACCAGGGGGGGCCCGGGAAGGTCAAGCCAGAGCCCATTGGCACCCCCATTCGCGCTTTGACTTCGGTTTCATCGGGGGCCAGCTTTTGCTCCTTGGGAAGCTGAAGCGTTTGCGACACGTCGGGTTGAGCCAACGGGACAAGAGAAATCTCTTCCATGTGCGTTTCAGGATATGTGCTTCCATGTTCCCCTAGGTTTTTTAAAGGGAATCTATTACTCAGACCAATTTGTGTCCGGTTGACTTGAGTGAAAGGTACCAAGTACTACTACGCCAGGGACAAGCTGGCGATCAAGTGCAAATGGATCCAATGGGTGCAGAGACACACCTAGTTTCTATTGACTGCGCAAAGCTCGTGGTCGCATTTCTCAGGGAGCTCTGCCGAAGGCAGCAGCTGCAGTTTCTAGGTAGAAAAAAAGCAGCCGCCGATTGTTTTCGCGCATTGATGAAGCTTCCAGATCCGCAAATTGTCCAACCAGATGGGCGTTCTTCCACAAGAGCCTTTCAGATTCCCAGAACCCTGCAAAGACATGTTCCCCCCCCCCCTTGAGGCATTCCCATTTGCCAGCAACCGAGAGCACACCAAGCTGCTGTGAAGCGGGGCCTTGGGACTTTTTGAAAGCAATCAAAGAGTAGCCTCCAAAAGCAGCCTCCCCATTTTGGCTGTGGGTCAAAACCAATGCAATCCCATTTTGGGGTACCACCCATTTTAGAACCTATTTTTAGTGGTTGGATTGGGATGTTCACTCGAGGTACAACCCATGCCCATTTTGGTGGAACCTGATGTTCTTATCCCAAAAGCAAACCATGGAACCTGAAAGAGCGTCGCTGTTGGATGAAACTGGTCTTCCAGGGTGCCTTTTTCAGCTGTGTTGTTGGCTGGCTAGATTGGTGAACGAAAAAACCGCTCAGCCGCGGAGGCTTTTTGTGAGACATGACCCTTTCGGAAATGCAATTACCAATGCGAATCTTTGCCCCTTAGAAACCAGCGAGCCTGTGGTTTCTGCAAGTTGTAGTTGTTTTACCCCAAATAGCAGGCAAGCTGTTAGGTAACCAGCCCGTCTTTACCCCACTACATCCCAGTTTCCCTAGTAGGATTATCCCTTCCATTCCTTATGGTTTTAAAGGGTAGCCCTTGAATAAACCAACATAGCTAAATGGATCTGCTCAGAATGAGTCTTTCCTTAGGTATCCCTTCGATCCATGTTCCTGGTTTATTGGGAAACCAAACAAGAAAATAGGGTCCCCTATCTTGAGGCCAAGGACATGTCCGACTTTCGATTTTAATGGGGAGCATTTTTGGGGTTGGTTTATGGGGAAACCCCCACGAAAACCATCGGGATAGTAAACCCATTCTAGAGGGTCCCCTATTTTGAGACCCGGGGACTTGCCCATGGGCCCATCCCTCTTCAAGCTCTTGGCTTAGCCGCGAGGACTGCTTCCCAAGCTTCTCCACCTGGGTGGTGAAGCAGTTGAGGAGACGTTTCCTGGGCCATTCGATGGCTGCCCAAACCCCCAAGAAAACCGGGGTCTACTGGGATAGCCACCTGTTACAGCCACCAAAGGGTGGATGTAATTCGATTTTAGGGTCAAGTAGAAAGGAGCTCGATTTGGAAGCCTGCTGAACTATGAGGGTTGCTCGACCTTCCCCTATGTTCTGTTGGATGTGTCTCTACACCAAACCGAAGCCACCGACCTCGGGACCATGGGGAAACATCTACCCTTCAGACATTGAACCCAGACATGTAGTGGTTCGTTTGGTTTAGGGCTGGCTCCGCGGGTTTCGGATTTCGGATTATTCGCTTCGCTTGGGGCGTGTTTTGGGTTGGCTTAGGGATGTGTAGGACAGGTCAGCTAGATTTCTGATGGGTCCCTTCTGGTCCGAGCTGAGGCCAGCTGACCTGAGCTTTAGTGCTGGGCTGAAAAAGCCGGGGGGCTTCTGGCAAGTTTGGATGGGAGGAGAAGTGAGCAATGTTGAATTTCATATTCATCAACCTCTGGTTAAAGGAAATGTGGGGGGGACAACCCCCTCTAAAAGTGGTTTCTGAATCCCCACTAAAACCAGAATCGGACACCCCCCATAGTAATCAATTAATATGGGGTCGGCATTCCTAGCTTTGTGGCTTCCGTTTTCGTTCCAATGTTCGGACATGCTGAGATCTTGTCTCATGATCCGCGGAACGACCCCCCTTTAAAACCACAAAAAGGATTGCCCTCAAAAAGATACACCCGTACAGAATGCACCTTTTAGCCAGCTGCATTGCAACAAGTTTTCGCTTTGTCAAAATGGCGCCGACTTATGAACATGTCCGATGCTGACTGTGCTCTTTCAACCGCAAAGGGGGGAGAGTCACCAGAATTGTCAATCTCATCAGATGATTTTTGCAGGACCGCGAAGAGGAACGATTGTTGATCAGACCCTCGTTGGCTCTTGTTTATTTCCAAATTGGGAACACATCTAGGTGGTCGCTGTCCTGCTGGTGTTTTCCTTCAGCACCGTCCATAAAGGGGTCTCCAAGTTAAGATAAATGTGTTTGGTTTTTCTAGGGCTGCCTTCCCCATTCTTTCCAGGGATCCTTCGCTAGAAAACCTCCGGAATCCCCGGGAAAACGGCTGGCTTTTGAAAAGAACGATGGTTGAAAAGCATTGAACATGAATCAACCCCTAGAGTTTTGGTTTTGTTCCGTTTACCAGGGGGTCCCTAATTTCAGATAGACACATCGAACAAAACAAATGTGCAAAGATCAGTTCCCTCCACAGTTCGGTCAGTCCCAAGACCCATTCGTCAGGGCTTTTTTTTACCAGGACCGTTTACCTGGGCCCCCTACTAAGATAGACTACAGAAAGAAGGGTGCCCTTATTCTAACCTCTCCAATGGAGGACCAAAGTTTGGTTTCGTTCCATTTGCCAGAGCCGTCTTTTTTTCTCCCAGAAAGTGCGCATCATGCGCACCTCCGGTCACCTCCGCCTCTGCGAGGAGCCATCGGGATGCGGCGGCGCGTCTTGCAGCAAGCCTCCAGCAGCTTCAGAGAAGCCCGGACCCCGCTTGAACATTGAGTAGTGGCTTTGTGGGTGTGTTTTGGTCCACGTTTTTTTGGTTAATGTTGGAGAAGAGTTGTTTTTGTCTCTTGACATAGGTGTCCTTTTTAGGTGAGTTTGGTTAAGAATTGAAGGCACTGGTTTAGATGGGTTTTGTTCCAGGGGCCAGGGCCATCTATTTTTCCAAAAGGACAGCTATGCTCTTGAAGTTCTTTTGACAATCAAACTACCGTCACAAATTTTCGAAAACACACAAATTTGGGGGCAATCTCCTCCTCTGCTTGGTAGTTTAAGGGTCCAAGGATCCTGTTTGACAAGAAACAAACACGGATGTAGACAATGTTTGGTTTGGAAGGGGACCCTGAAAAAGCGACACACTGTGGAAGCCTCCAAACAAAGCAGATCTTGACTATCCTCCAATAAAGTCAACACAGTCCAGCCTTCGCCACACCACAAGGCATCATTGCGTCGCGGGGTTTTTGCGGTAGAGTGCCAGAAAAAGTCGTGGGGACTGGAATCCCTTGTTTTCATCGCAACCATCTTCCGCAACCGTGCGGGTTCCGTTTGTTTCTTTGAGGGGGCTCTTTTCAGGCGGAACACCCACCCATTTTTAGGGCCCCGCATTTTGACCCAGTGCTCCAGTGCTAAATAGCACTGGGGCCCCTAACACGTCCGGTAGCTTTTTAGCAACCAAGCAGATGTCCGAAGCCCACGAGAAACTCAGATCAGTTTGTTCACTCTCCCAGAAGCTCTCTCTATATTTATATGATGTAGGGGAGGCGCTTATTTTTTTTTATCCCAAACTCTGGTCAACCAACGCCAAAAGAATGCCCTGAGGAATCGTTTTGAAGAACCGAAGAACTTTCTGGGGGCTCCCATGTTGAGAATATATCCGTCTGCAAGGAAACCCAACCCAAAGTGGTTGATGCCTTCAGGGACCACTCTAGAGAAGCCTTCCCCTATTCTTTCCAGGGATCCTTCTTTTCAGGAAACCATCAAAATCCGGGGGAAACCGATCCGGTTTTTGAAAAGAACGATGGTTGAAAACACTGGAAAAGGAATCAACCCCTGGAGCCAGTAGTGCCCTTATACCGTTGCTTTTTCGGGGGAGGGTTCCCATACTGAAATAGACAAAAAAACACATATGGTACCAATTTCTAACCTCTCAATTCTGGAGGACCCTTGTAAGGACGTTCCCGCCACAAATCGTCGGAAGATCCGATAGGCCTTTGGGACGACGAGGGGAAGGCTGACTTCGGCTCTGCCATGGCTAGGGACTGAGTGCCTGGAGGTTGCTGGGTTTTGGGAACCCCGGAAAGTAGAACCCAACCCTATCTATAGGCTCACTTCCTGAGTTCATGAACTTTAAACTTTTTGGGAAGACCATTTTAGTGGTAAATATAAAGTTTGGACTTTTTCTGGGCCATCCACTCAGCCAGTGAGTAGGGGGTGGGGGGGGTTATAGGCTTTGATTTGGTATCGGATCTTTGGACTTCAACCGTTTCGGTGGAAACAGCCGGGATGTTCCGAACTGGACCCACAAAAGTTGAGAACTCTTCGCAGAGGGGTCAACAGAAACCCTATAGGGGGGGGAAGGTCATGGGCCCCTCCAAAATTCGTAATCCCCACCATTTAGTGGGACCCCCCCTCCCCAACACAAAAAAACAATTAATCAGGGGGGTTTGGGGCTGCCAAAAGGAGGTGGTAGGGACTCATCAGTATTCCTTTGGCTTGGTTGCTTGGGGCTTTGTTGGTGGACCTCAGGTGTTAGACAATCAATGGTAAGGGTGTCAAGGGAACAAACAAAGTCCAGCCAAATGGCTGTGGGTCAAACCCAATGGTACCATTTTGGGGTACCCATTTTAGAACCTATTTTAGCGGGATTGGGATGTTCACTGGGAGTACGAGATTTTGACGGAGCCTGACTTGGGAGGGAATTCATGGCCACGAACCACGTTTTGAGGTTTTTCCCTATTGAACCCTATTTCGAGACAGGGCCATTTGATTTACCACACCCTTACAGACTCGTGTTGGACTTGCCAATCGATTGCACCAGGGGCACTACGGCACGACAACAAGGCACTCTATAATTCCCGTTCAAGTGATTCAGCATTTGTCAAGCTGTTTTTCCTGACTCGTCTATATGTAACAACCTTGTAGGCACGTCAACAATACTACCCTGACACTAGCATGTGACACGAAGAGCCACTTGACTTCCAAGATGAGTGGTCTTGGTTGCATGACCCAATGTTAGACCAATGTAGCAAGCCTGCGCCAAATTCTGATTGAGCGGTGTCAACATGACACACATCACAAGGCAGCATTCGCAATGATTTTGCGCGCGCACGCACCCACCCACCCACCCACCCACC